CTGCACCAATCCACCGGTCAATTTCACATTCCCTCACTCCTGAACAAAACCCCAAGAATCTTGAACTTCACCTGGGGAAAAAACTTTACTCCAACCTAGAGATGAAAAAAAATGCACTTCTATTAAACAAGCAAATTAAATAATTGAAAGAAAGCTAGTAACCAGACACTTACCAGTAGTCATTGACATTCATAGTAAAAAACAAAACTATAGAAATCCTTTAGTGATAATATAATTAGCATTTTTTGATAAACTTTCATATTAGGAGTTGGTCTAAAGGTAATATCATTCATATTGTAGTTGGTTACTTGTTAGCTGAGCCATGAAGTATTCATGACATTTTTTTTGCATTTTAATTGATAGTGTTTCTTTAAACAATGCAGGTATGTCCCAACCAGATCAGTGGTATCCAAAACATTCTGTACTGTTTGTATGTGTGTGTGTGCAATGACAAAAATGTGTTTTCACAATTCAAGCTAGAAGTTGCTCAATATCAACGCACAACGGGAAGAAAATATCAACTCTTTTGTCCAAACTGAGTAAAATGCTCTTTTTGTTCTCGTCTAGATTGCCATTGGGTGAGTTGACGGTTTCATTCAGACACCTGTTTCTCTGTGAAGCGTGAAGCAACGTTTATTCCTGCATTTTTACTTCCACCACTATGAGGTTCGGCCTTAATTAATGGTTCGGCCTAAACACGTTTACAGCTCGAGGAGAGCTTTTGTTTCTCGCTTGCTGGTTACTGTATTTCATTACAGAGATACAATGAAGGAGGCAAGTTCATACCTGAGACCCAGACTTAGATGTAACACGAATAAAAAAAAAAAGTAAAAGACTCAACTCCAAAGTCCTCCCTTAAGGCGCAAGTATACTGCTCTTGTCACAACATGCGCACAAGCTCAATGCCACAGTCATCTTCATGCATTAGGCTACGCTACACACACACAAGGTGCTTTTCTCGCTCAAACACTTTCTTTTGAGGCTTGTTAATACATCTGTGGCTGCTCATGACAGTGCAGTCAATAGGAGCTTTGCTGAATAAACAGTGTAAATGGGTAAAATGAAGGTCATACGTGAGTGATTCTCCGGGTTGATGCACTTTTGACTATCTGAAAAGATGAAAGGTGTGTTGCACTGTGGATTTTTAATTGTGAGTAATGGTGATGTTTTTAAGTTTTGTATAGAAAATGATAATCCTGGATCTCTCAATGAACTTTCAACTTAAAATACAAACAAGATATTATTTTCCCCTGAACTGAACTGAAGTGGTTTGGGTTTGACAAAGCAAAGGTGTTCTCAGATTATGTTGTAGAAATCTTAAAATTAAAATCTTAAAAATCAAAGCATTCTGATCTTCCATTACTTGCTCACTCAGTTAGAGATGCTGTCAGTGTTTCTTCTTTTTTTCAACGATGAATTTGATATATATATATATATATATACATATATATATATATATATATATATATATATATATACACACACATATATATATATATATATATATATATATATATATATATATATATGTACATTTCATTCATTCATTCATTTTCTTTTCGGCTTAGTCCCTTTATTGATCTGGGGTTGCCACAGGGGAATGAACCACCAACTTATCCACCATATGTTTTATGCAGCGGATACCCTTCCAGCTGCAACCCATCTCTGGGAAACATCCATACACACTCATACACTATGGACAATTTAGTCTACCCGAAGTAAAACCACGCGAACACCGGGAGAACATGCAAACTTCCCACAGAAACGCCAACTGACCCAGCCGAGGCTCTAACCAGCAACCTTCTTGCTCTGAGGCGACAGCACTATCTACTTCGCCACTGCATCACCTTTTGCAAACTTCTTTCAGTTATAAACAGCCATGAAAGAAAATAGAAGGCCAACGGGGAAAAAAGACTGATGTTTTTTATTTATAAACTACTGATGACATTTTACCAATTTAAATGCAGTTTAAAGAACTTTGCATTAAATATTTTCAGAAATTTTAAACACAATACCAGTGCTTTAACTTAAGAAATGTTAATAAATCAGCTGGCAATAAAAAAAAATTCAATTGGAAAGGATTATTGGAATATTTCCACATCACCCATATTGTTGTCAAACATGCACATTGTATTGTAATATGCTCATTCATGATACAACATCTTATTTATGTATTTTTACTTTTCTACAAAAACGTTTATACTTGTATGTTAAGATTCGATCTGAAATCATATACCACCAAATGTTGACAAGTGGTTAGGCATCAACATTAAAATAGTCCTTGCTTATTAACATAACTATGGTGGCTGAGAGAGCTTAACATGCTGCAATTTAAGAAAACATATGCAATTACAAAAAAACGCCAGCAAATTGAGAAAAGATCTTCATCCGTTTGACAGCACACATGCTGCAAATTGCCACAAAGCAAACACATTTTTAAAAAACACGCTGCATTTCCCCATGATGCAAACAAATTAATAAAACAAGCTGCATTTTCTCTCAACGCAAACAATTTACAAAAACGTGCTGATTTTTCTTACAAGACTTTCAAATAGCATGAAACACAACAGAAATGTTTCAAGGGGACCCTAAAACGCGACGGACAATGCTATTTAGGATATGGTTCTTTAGGCTAATAAAATACAAAAGACAAAGGAATCTGGATGTTAAAATAACCACAAAAAAATGAAAATAAAACTCCTTTCCAAGATCACCCACAATTTCACAAAGCAATGGTGATGGCACAGTAGGTCCGTCGTTTATTGGGTCCCCTTGAAACATTTCTGTTGTGTTCTATGCTTTTTGCAAGTGATGAGAGAAAATGCAGTGCATTTTCGTAATTGTTTGCATTGTGGGAAAATGCAGCACATTTTTTTAATGTCTAGCATTGTGAGGTTTTGCAGCATGCGTGCTGTCAAACGGATGAAGATCTTTTCTTTATTTGTTGGTGTTTTTGTAATCACATTTGTTTTCTTAAATTACAGCATGTTAAGCTCTCTCGGCCACAGTACATAACACTTCATAGAGGCTATCTTCTATCGTAAGTAGTGCTTAACCTTCTAACAAGCACCAGAACTGCCTGGTTGACCTTTTGTGCACAAAAAATAAATAATAATAAATAAAAAATAAAAATAAAAATTTACTGCCACTGATGTTCTATGAATATCCTTTCAAATTCTACAAAAGGTTCTTTACAGCTGAATGAATTTCTTCCTAGATTTTTGAAATGTCATTTAATATAAGAGACAAACAGTTTTTTTTAAGAAACCAAAATGGTTCTTTTATTTCATTACTGACTTTTTTTTTATTTTAGAAAGTGATCGCTAAAAAGCGGAACACAGTTATACATCTCATATTTGAGCTGGTAGCACTTTGGTTATTTAGACAGTGACAGCCAGATCTATAACCAAACTCTCAGCTGTATGTCACATTATACAGTTGTCACTGCACATACACAAGTGTTTAGTTAAGTGGTTTGCAAATGATTCAAATGAACCCTTATTTACTGACATTTAAACATTTCTGTTGATTTATTAAGATTTAATCAATGAAAGCATGCATCAACTAAACTAATGTTTTTGTTTACTTGTCAAATGTGACAGTCACCACCTTTAGACCAATTTACCCCTGGTATTAAGATGGTTTTTCCCATTAACACTAAATAGCATATAAACACCATAAACAAGATCTAAAACAATTTGTGGCTTACTGACCATCTCCAAAGCTTTGCCTTGATTTAAGACGCATGTGAATATGGGAGACCAGCAAGTTGAACTGATATCTGATCTTCATATTACATGAATTCCAGCCAGAATACCTACATTTCAGGAGGATGTGAAACAATTTTATGTTTTGTCAGTTTAGTGGTTCATTCTTTCAGTCAGTCGTATGAAAATGTACGATTTTAAAAAGGAGGCGTGGCACCCTATCCAGCCCATAAACCCAACCATCATTGAGAGATGAACAAATCGTAGACAATACATTATTGTATCATGGTATAACCTCTTAGCTTAAAGAATGCAATCTTTGAATATGCAGAATTGCAGAAAATATATGATGTATAAATAAAGACCTGCTACATGTATTAAACTGGGGTTTTACAAAAAGTTTGCTCAGAATGTAACATCACACTCACATTATCAAGTCTAGCATGTCTGCAGCTTAACATGGGTTATGTTCCAATAGTACCAATGAATTATGTGTACAAGCAAATGTGATGAAGAGTAAGAAGTAGAGGGGGCCTTGACAAAATCCCAATGAATGCAGAATGATACCAGGTGGAAACAGGGCCTTAATATTTTAGCCACTATCGCTGTGGTTACATGCAATAATCACAGAGCATAGTCCTGATTTTTAGCTGCACGATATGATAAGAATGTCAGAAATCACACATATAAGTATATGTTGTTGCCAGTGTTTGGTGTAAACAGTCTACAGAAAGTGTGAAATTGTATTTCTGGGCGAGCTAAATCTTGACTGAAACTTTCAAAACAAACCCAGCTGAAACCCGGCTTTCTGAAGTGCCATGCATTCATATGCATTTTAGAACTCAAGGGTGTAACGCCAGAGGCCAAACCCTTGCAAACACAACCATTTGCCTAATTGCAATAATTCACTGTTGACAAACACACTTTAGTTTTTCCAAGAAGGCCTGTAGTACATATTTAGACTTTTTTAGGTCCTGCATTGAAGTAAACTGACAAAATGATCAAATGAAACATGAGATCTGTTATGAAATAATAAATAAAAAAACATTGATTTCTAATACTTGAGTGAATAAATCACTATTGAAAGTTTGGCCTAGAAATATACAGAACAAAATGAATCTGTGCCCTTCCACAAATTTACATGTAAATGAACAACTCCTGCCACCAATTCCCAACCTAACTCTCTGTATCTGTAGTTTCGGTGTGTGTTGCTATGCGTATGTGTGTGTAGTTGTCTTGCATGTCTGAGAACCTGTTTGGTGGCTGTTCGGTATTTATCTGACAGAAACCCCATGACCGGCCAGATGACAGTCATTTTCACTCGGAGTTTAGAAGCGTAAACATCAGCGGCTACTACATGAACTACACCAGGTAAGTGTGCAGTCCTTTCAGTCAGGTTCATTGCTGGATATTTAAAACATAGATCAGAAATGAACATCAATGTTTGATTTATCTTCATGCATTGTTGTTTTATGTTGAGGCTTCTTTGCTTTTTGTTGTAATTTGATCAAATGATTTACGTGCAATGAGTAGAGCTCTTGGTTGGGAAAACAAAAATAATTGGAACAAACTGTTTTGTTTTTCAAGTAGCTTCATTAAGATGTACTACTACTACTACTACTAATAATAATAATAATTCCTTAAATTTATTGAATGCTTTTTTGGGTACTCAAAGCGCTTTACATATTTTTGGGGAATCTCTTTTTGCTGGAATCATCTAGGATGGTGTTTTGCTGTGCACTTTGGTTGGATTGTTGTTACAAAATGTAAGGTTTTATTAATTAGTACTAGTTGAGAAATGAAAAATGTTGATATAAACGTTCAGCACTGACTCATCATGCATGCGTGCAGACTATTAAAAAAATGAAATAACTTATGACGACGCCAAAGAACTGTTATGATAATAAGTGAAGCCAAAACATCAGATGATTACTGTTGTTGATCAAACTACTAACTCAACTGAGAAGATTAATTAGAACTTTCTATTGAGATCCTTGGTTCATTGTCAAGACCATCTGATATTTTAATAATGTGCTTTACAAAGGCAAAATGGAAATAAAATGAAGACATTTAGGGTAAAAAAAAAGAGAATAGATATGCAGATTGATGTGCTATTTTCTCAACTTTCTTACATCTGGACAAACTAGTTCTCATTCTCCAGAGTCCATAAATTCTTGAAGCATTCCTGACACAAACTACACGTATACGCAAACACATACACAACCTGTTAAAGAGACACAACAGCAGATTTTGTGTTAGAGGAGGTTAGACCTGATGGTTGTGAAATGTTGAGCAGGCCTTTGACTTTTAGATTAATTTTTGCTTATATTTCTTTTAAGCACTGTGGTTTGAAAACAGCATGGATTAGCATCTTCTTACCCTTTTAATAAACCTTATTATTACCTTTTAATAAACACATTCCCACTATGAGATTAGCCTTGATGGGGATATAAATAAATTGAACTGTCAAAATTACATTACATTTCTGTTTTTGGAAAAACTGGAGGTGTCCAGTTTCAACTTCCACTTTCTTCAACATGTAGTGTTTGGTGTTTTTAGTTAAAAGGATTGCTCACTCAAAAATGATGCCATTTACTCACTTCACACAAACCTGTTTGAGCTTTTGAAAAATGTTTATTCATTGACTTCCATGATATTTGTTTTTTCCTACCATGTAAGTCAATGGTTTGGAACCATTTGAGGGTGAGTAAATTTTCATCTTTGGTTGAAGAAACCCTATATATACAATCTTTATTTTATTAAGTAACCATCAACCAATTCATTCCTTAAATATAATATGTTACTTCTTATAGGTTTTATTTCCAGTAAATGCACTAGATAACTGAAAATGATGCAATGAAGATGTGACTAGACAAGTGACTAAAAGAGAGTGGGAAGAGTTCATGCACGCATGAAAATAAATGTCCATTTTTGGAGCAACAACTATGTTTTGACAGTTTTGTTCTGAATCAGCTGATGTTCTCTTGGTCTGAAACTGGCCGGAAATTTAAAGTCTGATTAGTCATTATTGTTCCTTTTTATTGTTCCTAGAAATACTAAAATTAAATGCTTGGTTTAATGATTAGGTTTCATTTGTGTGTTTTTTGTTTCAGCAGATATCCTGAAAACTGGTTTTCATGACATGTCCGGTTGTATTTAAAGCAGTGACGCCATGATGGTTGGTACCTTTGAGCAAACTAGTACTTTAAAGGTGTTGTATTTTTATTTAATAGAATAATAGAAAATATAACTACTACCTGACCAACAATATTTTTTTTAGCTTATAATAATACAGGATGTTGTCAGATTCAATCAGTAAGTTTGCTGGAAATTGCAGCATGGCTAAAAATTATTTACAGCACCTTTAATTTACATTAAGCAAATTCATTATACCTATGAAATTATATTAATATGAGATTATGAACACTAATAATAAATCTTCTTGTTCATGTGCAGAATGGAGAAACAAATATCCGTGTGCACTCAGACGGTGTAAAATTGGACGATGCAGTGAAAGGAGGAGTTGGAGTCGGGGTCAAAGGAATCACAAGTCCTGCTATTACCCAGGGAGAAGGTAAAGAACTCGCATAATGTGTGCACATATCCTATATTTAGCTCCACACAGAATCTGCGCGTGCAGAAATCGATTTTTAGCCCATCCTTGAGTCTATGTATTTACTTGTGTAAATGTATATTTACATAGTTATTTTTAGTTTTTAAATTCATACCACTAAATGAAATGAATTTGTGATATTTTATTGGGATATAATAATAGTAATATTAAAATATTCATACGATTTATTTACAATACAGCTTGTCAAGTAATGTTTTCTTTCTTTTAGTAGATATATGATATGAGAGACTTGCTTTGTTAACCAAATAAGTGGATCTAATTGGATTTGCATTGTAAACATGAAATAAGTAAAAAAAAAAAAAAAAAAAAAAAAAAAAAAAAATATATATTATTTTATAAAATAAGTTTGTATTTACGATACCCCTAAAATCATCCTGCATAGATCTGCAGATTTTTTGACAAAATTAGCAGCAGAAAAAGCAAAAAATGTCTGCACATTCTGCCTGGCATTATATGCAGCACATTTAATGAAATAAATGGGTCTGTATTGTGCCTTATCCTCATTTGTGATCTATTTTAGGAGATAAGCTTCTTGCAGCAACAGTTCATCTGGACCACCTTAGTAAAGAGGATGCACTACAACTGATCGGTATCATCAAGTCATACGACAAGAACCTTGAACTTAAGACATCAAAAGATCTGAAAGCAGGAGTGGTAAGCAATCTTGTGTATTAAATAATAATAATAATAAAGAAAATAGATTAAAGAGGTCTCATTATGACTTTATCTCTTTTTCCATATTAGTCCCTTGGTGACCTTCGATTGAACAGTGATGCAGGACTTGAAGCACCCGGTGTTAAGGTTAACGGGTTAAATGGACAAATAAATGCCCCAAGTCTTAAGGGTGGCATCTCAACCCCAAATATCAGAGGAGCAGGTCTGGATGGCATGTTAGGAACACAGGATGTCAGCCTTTCTACACCTAGACTACACACTCCTGGTGTCTCTGTTAACGTGGATAACCCTGAACTGAAGACCAAAACACCCAAGTTCCAAATGCCCGACTTCGACCAACAGGCTATGAAACCAAAGATTGGTGGTGATGTGAATTTAACAGCCCCAAAGGTAAATGCTGACCTAAAAAAACCCGATCTGAGTCCATCAGGACCCAAGATTAATGGAGAATTTAACACCCCTGGAGTAGATGTGACCTTGCCAAAAACTGAGCTCACCGGTCCAAATATGGACATCGACACGCCAAAAGTTAATACCTCTGGCAAGATGAAATTTCCCAAATTTAAGAAAAAAACTGCTAAAGTAAAAGTACCGGAGGCAAGTATTGATGCAAATCTAAACAAACCAAATCTAGAACTTTCTGCCCCAAAGTTAAATGCAGGTGTCAATCTGCCAAGGGCAGATCTTGAAGCACCAGATGTAGACATCAAAACTCCAGATATCAACATAGGAGCTCCCAAGGGCAAAGCTAAATTTAAAACCTTAAAGAAGCCCACATTTGGGCATAAGGTTAAAGCACCAGAGGCTGGCTTAGATGTCAGTGCCTCAAAACCTGATTTGAATCTGTCAGCACCAAACATAGATGGAGATATCAGCATCCCAAACACACGTGTCAATTTGCCCAAGGCTGATGTGGATGTAAAAGCACCTAATGTAGATATTCATACTTCGTCTACAAAGCCCAAGTTCCCAACTCTCAAAATGCCAAAGATAAACTTGCATAAATCAAAGGTGAAAACACCTGACTTAAATGCAGACTTGAACATGTCATCTCCAGAGGTAGAAATGAACCTGCCAAAAGCTAAACTGGATGCACCAAATCTAGATGTCAAAGCTCCAAATCTCAACTTGTCTGCACCAAATCTAGACATTCAAACTCCAGGAGCTCATGTGCAAGCACCAGATATTGACATTGAAGCTCCATCTGCAAAGGTAAAGAAGCCCCATGTTAAAATGCCCAAATGGAGTCTTTCTGGACCAAAAATGAAAGGAAAAGCTGATTTAGATGTACCGGATCTAGATGTCAAAGCCCCAGACCTAAATCTCACTACACCAAATCTCGATGTCAAAGCTCCAGACCTCAACCTCTCTGCACCCAATCTAGACATTGAAACTCCAGGAGCTCATGTGCAGGCGCCAGATATTGACATTGAAGCTCCATCTGCAAAGATAAAGAAGCCCCATGTTAAAATGCCTAAACTGAATCTTTCTGGGCCAAAAATAAAAGGAAACGCTGATTTGGATGCACCAGATCTAGATGTCAAAGCCCCAGACCTAAACCTCACTGCACCAAATCTAAATGTTCAAACTCCAGGAGCGCATGTGGAGGTACCAGATATTGACATTGAAGCTCCATCTGCGAAATTAAAGAAACCTACTGTTAATATGCCTAAAATAAATCTATCTGGGCCAAAAATTAAAGGAAAACCTGATTTGGATGTACCGAATCTAGATGTCAAATCTCCAGACCTCAACCTCTCTGCACCGAATTTAGACATTCAAACTCCAGGAGCGCATGTGCAGGCACCAGATATTGACATTGAAGCTCCATCTGCAAAGATAAAGAAGCCCCATGTTAAACTGCCTAAATTTAATCTTTCTGGGCCAAAAATAAAAGGAAATGCTGATTTGGATGCACCAGATCTAGATGTAAAAGCACCAGACCTCAACCTCTCTGCACCAAATCTAGATGTTCAAACACCAGGAGCGCATGTGGAGGTGCCAGATATTGACATTGAAGCTCCATCTGCAAAAGTAAAGAAGCCCCATTTTAATCTGCCTAAAATGAATCTATCTGGGCCAAAAATTAAAGGAAAACCTGATCTGGATGCACCGAATTTAGATGTCAATGCTCCTGACCTCAACCTCTCAGCACCAAATCTAGACATTAAAACCCCAGGTGTGGATGTGCAGGCACCAGATATTGACATTGAAGCTCCATCTGCAAAGATAAAGAAGCCCCATGTTAAACTGCCTAAATTTAATCTTTCTGGGCCAAAAATAAAAGGAAACGCTGATTTGGATGCACCAGATCTAGATGTAAAAACACCAGACCTCAACCTCTCTGCACCAAATCTAGATGTTCAAACACCAGGAGCGCATGTGGAGGTACCAGATATTGACATTGAAGCTCCATCTGCAAAAGTAAAGAAGCCCCATTTTAATCTGCCTAAAATTAATCTGCCTGGGCCAAAAATTAAAGGAAAACCTGATCTGGATGCACCGAATTTAGATGTCAATGCTCCTGAACTCAACCTCTCTGCACCAAATCTAGACATTAAAACCCCAGGTGTGGATGTGCAGGCACCAGATATTGACATTGAAACTCCATCTGCAATGGTATACAAGCCCCATGTTAATCTGCCTAAAATAAATCTATCTGGGCCAAAAGTGAAAGGAAAACCTGATTTGGATGCACCTACTCTAGATGTCAATGCTCCAGACCTCAACCTCTCTGCACCAGGTGTTGATGTGCAGGCACCGGAAATTGACATTGAAGCCCCATCTGCAAAGATAAAGAAACCCTTCATTAATCTACCTAAAGTAAATTTAAAAGGGGCAAAAATGAAAGGTCCAGATATAGACCTCAATACACAGGCAGACCTCCAAGGACCAGACATAGACCTGAAAGCTCCAAATCTCAATCTTTCAGCACCCAAAGTGAACCTGCCAGATGCCAATATAAAAAGTCCAAATGTAGACCTCGAAACCCCAGGCATTGACTTAAATGTTCCTGAAGTAGATATTGATGCCCCCTCTGGGAAAGTCAAGATACCGCACTATAAGATGCCGAAATTTGGTCTTTCTGGGCCTCGTGTTAAAACAGAAAAAGTAGAAGTACCTGATGTAGATTTGAACATCCCCAAAGCAGAACTGAAAGGACTTAATGCAGGTGTTAAATCACCTGATCTTAGTCTTTCCACACCTAAAATTAAAGGGGACATTTCTGCTCCTTCTTTAAACGTTGGTTTGCCAGACGCTGATTTAAAAGCTCCAACTGCAAACATTGGGGGAAGTCTAGAGTCACCAAATCTCAATATATCCAAACCAAATGTAGACCTAAATTTACCCAAAGCAGAGTTTCAAGGACCTGATGCTAACCTTAAAGTCCCAGATGTTGATATCAATGCCCCTTCTGCAAAACCTAAGATGCCACATTTCAAACTGCCAAAATTGAATCTGTCTGCGCAAAAGATGAAAGGGCCCGAGCTGGATGCTAATACAGATCTAAGTCTTTCCGCTCCCAAACTTGAAGGAGAATTAAAAACACCTGCTGTTGACCTAAATCTTCCAAAAGCTGATGTAAATGCAACTTTACCAAAAGCTGAGGTCAGTGTTCCCAATGTAGATATCAAGTCCCCTGACTTGGAGTCGCCGTCTGTAAAGCTAAAACAGCTTAAAATTAAGAAACCAAAAGCCGACCTTTCGGTTCCAAAAGTGCAGACTTCAGGTATTGACATAAATGCAGAAGCTCCTGATCTTAACCTCTCTGCTCCAAAAATTGGTACTCCTGATGCTGACTTGAGCCTGCCCAATGCTGGGGTTGATGTAGATGTTCCCACACTAGATGCTGACGTCAAGGTTCCCAAAGGAAAACTAAAATTCCCAACAATGAGGAAATTGAACTTTTCTGGCCCCAAAGTTAAATCTCCTGATGTTGACATTGCTGCTGATGTAAGCAGGCCAGACCTGAACCTATCTCCTCCTGGTGTGGATGTGAATCTTCCCAATACTGGGGTTGATGTAGATGTCCCAAGCATTAATGCTGAAGTCGAGGGCTCCAAAAGCAAGAAGAAATGGCCTTTCAACTGGCGAAGATCTGTTGAATCAAAGGATGGGAATGTAAAGATTAAAGCACCAGAAGTAGATGGCAACACAGAAATAAAACTCCCCAAAAATATCCCCTTGTTCAAGACTCACAGCTTACCTGCAAGCAACATTGACAGCATCTTGCAAGAACGCATTGGAGCAGCTGACGTCACTATTGACCCTGCTAAAACAATAACTGATGCAGTTGTCTCAGTCTCGTCAGTCAAGACAAATCTGAAAGCTTCATCTCCATCTGTTGGGGTCAATGGACAGAGAGGCAGTGTAGATGTCCTGGAGAGGTTGAGATTGTCTAATGCACGTACGATTAGCCAAGATTGCGGCATATCTTCAGAACCAGGCAGCCCTCCAAAAGCGAATAGAGGAACATTTAAAGTCACCAACCCTGATGCTAATAAGGATCATCCAGTAGTTGATACTACTAGCAATGACAAAGATGCCAAACTTAGCCTAAGCTTGAACAACATGCTTTGTCTGCAGACAGAGTAAAATTTAATCCAAGAGCATTGGTAATGCACATCACCTCAATATAGTGAAGTCATATGTAAAAATTACATGTATAAAAATGGGTAAAGTTTTGATTGAAAAGCATTCTAGAATTTGACAGATGTAATTATTTTTGTATTCAGTTCTACACAATTAAACAGTTAAATGTGCAATGAATGTATCTTAAAATACTGACATAAATATATAAGAAAATCTGCTGACTCTATAATTCTCTGCATTTTTAAGCGGTTAAATATATATTATATTGTCTTTTGTTTACACTTATTTCCATTCCAGTTTTATATGTATTTTGATCAGTATTGCAAACTGGGGAAAAAAACAAACAAATCAACTTGAGACTGTGTTCTCACTGTGTATCACATATATGTGCAGATTTCTGCCAGTTTCACACACAAAAAACCTCAATAAAGCTTATATGAACAACACATGCCTAATTTGCCTTCAATCACGATTTGTTCACAATGTTGTATGTAACGCTGATTGCATGCATGCACACACACCCACCAATACAAACACACACTATAAAGTCTTGTTGTTGATCTCAGTTGTAAGAGCAACAAATAATAACTTGACTTCTAGTTCATTTGGAAAAGTGGCAGAAGGTAGATTTTTTTTGATGAATTATGTGTTTTTTTAACTGTATCCCAATCATCAAAAATACAGCAGAAGACCTACTGGAACTAGCATGGACCCAAGATTCTCACACAAATCACAAATTACAAACCAAAAGAGAGGGCAAATTTTTCAACAGGATAGCACTCCTTCTCTTACTTCAGCCTCCTGAAAGAAAAGAAGGTCAAGGTGCTCCAAGATTGGCCAGCCCAGTCACCAGACATGAACTTTATTAGATGGAGGAGGCATTGAGGGTGAATCCAAAGAATCCTAACTGGCAGTCCTGCAAGAACACTTTCTTTGCCATTCCAGAAGACTTTATAAATAAGTTATTTGAGTCATTGCAGAGTTGTATTGATGCAGACCTCCAAACTCATGGGAGTCATGTACAATATTCATTCTTTTTTCCACTGCACCATGACTTTATATTCTATACTGTACATTATTTCTGTTAAATGACAAGACTTTCGCCTAAGCAAAGTCAGAACTTATTGTGCTAATTAAATAATTAAAAATCAAGCCATGATCATATTTTATTTTGGTAAAATAAGCATAATCTAGAGGCCTTTGTCTTTCATATGAGCCACTTCTGATACCAAATGATCAACTAGAAGTTACTATTTGTTGTTCCTAAAACTTAGAGGGGCAAAAAAATTGTCAGTGTAGATTGACACCATCAAAATATTTATAACAATATTCAGACACTGTTTATAGAAAGGTTTTATTTTTAAACAAACAGAAATGGCTTTAAATGTTAGACAATAGGTCCAAGGCTAGGTAGGATACAAGGCAGAAAACCAAACACTTCCTAAAGACAAAAAATAGTCTTCTTTTTATAAAATAACTTACACTACTACCTCATTGTTATTGACATTTGAGCACAAATGTTAAAACTATCACCAACAGTATTTAACCATAAAAAATGTTTGATAAGTAAATTTGAAAAAGATCAGATTGTTTAATTAACTTTGAGATCCATAGTTCGCTGCAGTTACACTGCCATTTTCTCAAAGACATCCTAAATCTTTCTTTCTTAAAGGCTACCAAAAATGATTTTAATGGCAATTTAAGTGCTTTTTAATTCAAACATGCCAAATCCAAGTGCCTTGTGAGCAGTGCAATGGGAATTTTAATATAAACGACAAAGCTTTAAATGGCACTTAAATGCAAGTTTTGAAACATTTGAATCTACAGAATGAGTGTTATTGTATCATCATACAGAATGTGCGTGAGAACTTGACAAACAAAACATCAATGGTTAACAACAGGGCTGTGCTAGTGCTGCTCAAGATACTGACGGAGTACAATTGACAACTACTGGCCAGGGATTAGTAGTTTGTTTTGAGAACATGTCATCTGTTCACTAAACTTATAGAATAAAACAATTAGAAAAGAACATTTCATTTCTTATTTGAAATACATCACTGCCAAGTAAACATGACATATATTGTTTGTGAACCCCTTTAGAAAGTCAGTTTTCAGTTGTTATACAGTGATTTTCTTATTCTAGTCATGTATTAAATGTTATATTAAGTCAGATACACGTTTATTAATGTTTAGAGAGAGTTGTGAGATTAATGAAATAAAACTACATTAAAGATGGAATGATGAAACAGGCAGCTTTGTCTAATAATAGGCTTTTTTTCTGGAACCTCAATGTCACGCCTGATTACAAGGCCCACATGGAGTTTTCAAGTACACGGGAAATGCACAGATTTCCACAAATATTCGAGGCCATCGGTTAATCTATTTATTTACTTTTGTAAGCATGATCGTTTATATTTAATCTGGCCTTTATTCATTTCAGTAATAGTCTTATATGATTCATGAACAACGTGTAAAGTAATATTTCCTGTCTTTTAGCAGACCATGTACACTGAAAAAAATATTTCTGCAAACTATTTGTTTGTTGAATTTGAACAAGCAAATTACATTCAGTAATTTTCAACTTAATTAGTTTGTTTAAATTCAGCCCAAATAAATTTACAACTTAAAAAAAAAAAAAGTAAATCCAACGAATCATCTACAGAGTAGTGCTCAGCATATGAAAATTAATATTTTTTTTGATTCATTCTCAGTGAATATACATAAGATTTTTGTATAATATGTAAACAGATTTATTAAACAGATATATTTATTAAAATAATATTTAAGTCACCAAACATATTTAGAAATTGAAAAATAATACATTTAAAATCAATCAAAATACTGCAAAAAAAAAATTTGCATTTCATATTTTCTATAACATATAAATTTGGGTGTATTAATTTTTGGACCGCTATAAAAAGTACTGACTAATCTAATGTATATAATATTGTATAGCTTCTGATTAAAAATACGAATTTAAAGAGCGGCTTGTAAGGGGTTACTTATATACGCTGAGCACTAATATATGTCTCTCTCTCTCTCTCTCTCTCTATATATATATATATAGATGTGTTTGTTTGTATACACACACACACCTCAAATCTATATATAGTAAAACAACAGAAAACTGTAAACTGTAAACAGGTTTTAAATACTTTTAAGCATGGCTGTATATTATTTATTGTTGGTTTGACCAAAATAAGCCTTTTCTTTTATGTTGTATTTTTGATGACTTTTAATATAGTTTTTACACAATTTGGCCCTAACCATTAAATAAACCAAAATTACCAACAAGCTCTAATCTCATATTTTCATGGGATATTATGAATATCATGAACTGCAGCATTTGTTGCAATTAGAAAATACAGGAAGCTGAACCCCAACTGAAATAAAGATTCAGCCAGTCTGACTTCTAAACATCTTAAAACTCATTTTGATAATAAGCACAGTGACTCATACTCATCAAGAATGTTACTAATAGAAGGACTCTTCATAAGACCATCAGCAGTAAATAAATTAAACGCGGTATGTCCGGAACGACAGAGAATTTCCAGACATGATCTAATGGTGCAGTCACACCTGAGTGGCATTTCAGTTTCCTCTTGAAGTGCTGGGGCGCCACTTCGTATATTTGACAATCACCTTTCCGTCGCATATCTACTGCCTGCCACAAACATGTGACATTTGGAAAGCTATAATCAGCCAAGAGCTATCAAAAAAGAACTAAGTCCAGTGTACAACTTTGTAAACACTGTCTTTCCACCACTGCTGTTCAGTAGTGTGTGTGTGTGTTTCTGACCTGCGGTCCATCCCTGCAGTTCTGAATTTCATCCATTGAGGTCCAGTTTTAGTCAAGTGGCAGCTAATGGGCCTTCTGCCATCGTGATGGCCAGTCGTTCTCCATCCAGCGCTGGAGCAACCGCAGCACGTCGATGCGCTGGTAAAGTTGGCAGAGTTCGGTGAGCTCTGTGACAGGTTTCTGGTTGTAGCGCAGGAGAAACTCTTGAGTAGGACTGTTGTAAGTGGCACCGTGTTTGCGCTGCTCTAGAAGCATCAGCTCATCGTAGCTCATTCCCCAGCGGCTCGCAAAGTTCTTCCAGTTTTTGACCGTGCAGTGAGTCGGGTCCAGCTTGAGCCGCAGGCTGTACAGAAGGTCTTCGTCATTCATCAGGTCACTGATTTTGGGTGGAGGAGCAGAAAACAAACCCTCCTTACAGGGCTTGAGTTCTTTACTGAAGTCTAGAGAGCAGGAAAGTAAAAACAGACAATATAACAGTGAATAAAATTATTTTTCAAAAGGTGTATTACATCACATACAAGGAGCTTTATATTTTGTAGGTAACTATACATGCAATACTGAATTGGGAGGATGGAGCTAGAGATGCTTGACTTGTTATATTGTTATTATAATGTAATACTTATTATTCTGGGTGAAACACAACACTTACGCGAAACTTGCTTATATTCTGAACACACATGCTTGCTTGTATACTTTATGAATAATGTGTTTTCTGTCTGGTCTATTTAAACACTGGTTTAATGGATTACGACCCGTTAAGGATTTTCCTTATGACATTTTACTACATGAATAAAAACTTAAGTAATTATTCCCAAATTTATACATTTCCTTCTTTCTTTATCTATCCATCCATCCATCCATCCATCCATCTGTATAGTTTATGAAATGCAGGCATAACATCTTATTTCAGATGATGTATTATACCTACAGCTAATGTTGTAAAGAGTGTAGTAAAGTTAAATAAAACTATAAATAATAAATCAATTATTTAAAATAAAAAAATGTAATTATATTATAAATTCAAACACCAGGAAAAAAAATACAGAATTACGATTACAATTGACTAACAAGTACAATTAGCTTGCCATATTCATTGATAACTGTAATAAATATTAATAAATAAGCTATAGATTGTATAAAGCCACGTAAAACTGAGTTCACTGGCTGGTATTAGCCGAGACTACATGACAACCAGAGGCAGACACCTGTCACTGAAGTGGCCACGCCCTTAATTATGCCAAATTTTAAGGCTTAAAATTATTTACACAGATGAGTTGAGAGATAATTCTCCACCTTACAGTTGTCATGACATGCAATATCGCTTACGTAAACCCAAAAAATCTATTATACCAGGCTGTAAAAAACATTTTCTGCTGTAAAGTGGAGCATTCTGGATGCATTCTAGTGTTCAGTCAATGAACTGCAGATTCTGTCACTCCTGTGGTGACTTTAAGAGACAGGACAGGAGGCTGCTGCTGGTTTCAACACATTGGTGGAGGCATGTTGAAGAGCTTTCCCTTCATGTTTTAACATGTTTTGCCACATTGGTTAAACTTTTAAACACTTTTGATTACCTCTTTGAACTTACAAGACTTTCCTATTGATAGAATGCACTGTATAATTAATAAAATATCTAATACAATTCTTTCTTTTGCACGTAAATCTGCTGCATGTTTTAGTTTAGAATTCCTATAGTGTAGTATAAGTCCGTCATGTTTGGAAGTCTAAAAACTTCTGCACTGAGACTTGACAATGCCAAATAATAAAGGCTTTTAAAAAAGAAAAAAAAATTCATTTAAAGCTAATATTTACAACAATAATTCATAAATACTGTTACAATTACTTATTATTTAAAAATGCAATATATTGTGACTCCTAAATTTACTTAAACTTGTTTGATACAATTGTTTTATTTGGCATGACATGAAAATACTCAAGTCATCTGCCATAATTACACCACTACGTTCAGTGTGTAGTGGTGACAGTTATGTATACAGTGTAGTAATGGTAGTTTTTCAACCAGTGACACATACCTGATGAAACAGACGCTGATGTAATACATTCACTATCGTCATTTTCCACAGGCTGGGTGATAAAGAAAAGATGGAAAAGCTTAGGGATTATTGAAGTTGAGAAAGTTCCGTTATTCTGTTTTGCATAAATAAACAAATGAACCCACGATGCTAATGAACACTACACAGAGAACATGTCAAGCACGTATTGGGGAATAACCTTACAGCCCCTAACAAGTGGAATAAAATTCATCCTGGTATTTACACATACAACCACATATCTTTCACTGCCCACATCATACGACTCCCCAAGAATTGTGTGGTTTGCATCTATAAATAAGGATGCTGTCAGACATTTGTACGTGACTTTAAGAAGGAACAGAATGTCAGAAACAAATAGAAACTGCAAGAGGCAAATAGGCGATGTTTGTTATTTAAAATATCAGAACACCCACCTGTCGTATCCTGCCCACCGCAGACGACAAAAAACCAGGAGGAACAGAGCTGAGCTGAAGGGTCACCGGGTCTGTGGAGAATTACGCCACATTTCAATGAATAAACCTGTTGATCGTTTACAACACTGTGCTTTCATCTCTAATCGAACATGATCATATAGAAAGTGTGGAGGCTGACCTAAAGGTCACTATTCTGAAAATCTGACCTGAGATCAGCAGAATTCAATAAACAGACAGGAAATAAATGACTCAGTCACTACCAATACAAGCAGCAATGACGTAAATAAACAATAAAGAGCTCATACCTTGTGAATCTGTGACCTGAACAGGATAGTTTGACCTTAGAGACTGAAATAAAGACCAGAATAGAGGACAAAACATCAGCATAAACACCCAAAGGTCAAACATGACACCACACAAACACACACATACACATCTAAGGCTCTGTTTTCACATGTTATTAACATGTGCTTTCACTGACTCAATAACAGTTGGTAAACTGAGATGCAGTACTGTTTCCACCTGATGTTAACATGATTTCAATTGGCTCACTTGTGATGACTTGTGTTGGGATTTTGGCAAGAACCTTTCTTATTATTTTGTCATATTTTGTGTAATGCATGAGAACTGTTGATTAAATAAATAGGTTCACATGACTTATGAGCAAGCAGGGAAAAAATAATGAAAAGATGTAGATGACATGGCAGCAACCATTTTAATACAGTAATATGTGTTTTAGTACAACATAAAAGTTTAGAAATCAATTCCTTAGTTAGGGTTTCGCACAATATTAACTATTTCCCACAATGATCACATGTTAGTCCGGCAGGTGTAGAATAGATGTTTTTTTGTGTGCCTGTTTGTACAGATTTGACAGCATTACTGAATATAGCTGAATATCAACAATTAAAACCCGTTTAGACTGTTTACATCTGCATTAAGCGTGGAGATGGCCATTAAAATGGACTATGTTTGGTGGATGGATGGATAGATATCTCGTCACCTTAGAATTAAAAGGTTCTATCTGACATTTTTGTCAAAATTGAGTTATTGTTATGTTCTTATTAAATGACAACTTATTTACATTATGGGATGTTTTTTTTTTTGATAAGTTGTTTACATTTTAAGAATTTTTATACAAATGTTACACACATACTGTTTGCTATATGGAATGTAGTATATATGGAATGTATATATATATATATATATATATAAATATAAAACCACATTTTCTGATATTTGCCATGATAACAGGATCAATGATGATGATTCATTCATTTCCTATGAAAAGACAAAGCAAGTTGTGTTGTGTAAGATTTTTTTTTAATTAAAGTGTTGGCACACATATAATGTAATATTGGTTTCATTCATACTAAAGCTAAAGGCAGCATATACTCCACATATACACTAACGGTCAAAAGTTTGGAGTCAGTAGGATTTTTAAATGTTTTAAAATAAGCTTCTGTTCATCAAGACAGCATTTATTTAATCAAAAACACAGTACAAATTGTGAAATTGTGAGATGTTATTGCCCTATAAAATAACTGTTTAAAAGTAGTTTATCATTTAATTTATTCCAGTGATTTTAAAGATGAATTTTTAGCTTCATTACTCCAGTCTTCAGAGTCACATGATCCTTCAGTAATCACTCTAATATTAAGTATTATTATTATTATTATTATTATTATTAATTGTAAAAGGAATAAAAGCAATAATGACTGGAGTAAGAATTTCATTTGAAACTACATACAATAAGTAATAAATAAATATTTAATAATTAAGTATTTACCAATTTAACAAACTTTTGACCCGTAGTGTATATTTCAGAAATAAAGACATCATCAACTATCCCTGTAGCTGAAAATTTTTTGGATTAAAACAGATAAACTGAAATCGATCATAATTTCCATGACTATTGCAAATTATGGATTATTTAGATATTTATGTGGGTGTTTTGATAATAATAATGTATATTTAAATTTCAATGAGAATTGAGAATGCATATATGACCTTAAACTCCTCCTCATTTTGTGATATTAAAGCATGTTGAGTCACAAAACATTTCCTCCAAACACTCGGCTGATAAAGTGATGAAAGAATGTTTAAGAATGAATAGAAAATATGCTATAGAGTACATCAATTCATAGCACAGACCGTAATTTAGAGTTGTACACTTGAGACAAAAACACATTTTACGTCAGACTAGTTGAACAAACCATACAGCTTTTAGTCAACTTTGGAAAGACCCTCATGCTAAACACATTTAAAATGGAATCCTTTATTCACAGGCTATAAATACCTGGATTGGAAAAGCCTCATTTAATTTAATCTCAGATTTTTTCTGTCAATCATGACAGGTTTAGAAAAAATGTCCACTCAAAAGATGATCAAGGTGAAGGGGGGTGAGTATCTTGTTTTTCCAGGCAACGTTGAACTGACTCATAACAATAAATCTTGACTATAGGCCTGTTAATAGTACTGTGAAAATGTATAGCAATTTAAAGAGAAAACATTGAGACTAAAACAATCTAGATCAATATCCACATTATATCAAACTTACTATATCAATATCCTAATCAAGTGTACGGTTTCTTTTCGTACATAGAAAACAGGAATAAGTTCACCCAAAAACTAAAATGACCATCTATCATTTATTCACCCTCATGTGGTTTAAAACCTTTATGAGTTTCTTCAGGTGAACACAAAATAAGACAATTTGAAAAATGCTGGTTGCTGAAACTTAAATGAAGTCAACGAAGTCACCTGCATTTTTCAAAATATCTTCTTTTGTGTTCAACAGAGGACAAAAATGAAATAGGTTTTGATCAAGTAAAGGGTGAGAATGATGCAACTTTCATTTTTGGGTGGACTATCCAACAAAAACAGCTTGACATGCTTTCTTACTGACAAACATTTAGGTGAGGAATAGTGTTAATAAAGGTCTACAGTGCCTATAAATACTGTTCATTTGAATAAATATGTCCATATTGGCTAACATTGGTGAAGTGAACGCTGAAGTTTAAAACGCTTTGCTTAAAGTAAGTCAAACACTTACAGCACTTATGATCTATATCTGCTTCATAATAGAGTAGGTTATTTCAATTAGATTAAATATAGAGAAAATAGGACCATATCACCCCAGTTACACCCTCCTAATGCCCCATTCACACGGTGTGTCAGTGTCAACGCTTCCCATTCACTTTGAATGGGTGACGTTAGGCGTTGCCGAACTGCATTGTGGATCCGTCTACGCAGCTTCAGTGGGACTGCTTACTGCAGAAGTTAGGAAATTCTCAACTTTAAGCACCAAGGAAAGCATCAGCGAATCAGATCACTTTATGCAAATACCCCAGCTCAGACAGTAGCCGATTACAGACTTGTTTCATTGGCTGACACTGCTATGACGATCACGTCAGCCCCAACTTCAGACAAGCCCTCAGTCAAGCGTTGAAGCGGAAGCCCCGTGTGAATGCTTGGTTACACTGGCTGCCTGTTAAGTTCCGTATTGTTTATATTGATTTTTACCTATAAAGCTTTAAATAATCTAGCTCCTATTTATCTAACCAACCTTCTGTCTTGCTACAATCCAACCTGCTCTTTAAGATATTCAAACTCAGGGCTTCTGATAGTATTCAAAATAGCAAAGTCTACTAAAGGAGGTCGAGCCTTCTCATTCATGGCTTTAAATTCTGGAATAGCCTTTCTGATAATGTCTGAGTTTCAGACACACTCTGTCAGTTCAAAACTACTATAAATACCTATCTTTTTAGTAAAGCATAGCTACTGTTGCCACTGTCTGCATGGTTCGGGTCCTGTAGAGCTGTGCATTGATGGATTTGCTCTTCAGCGTTTGGACTTTTGGCAGTGAAATTTAAACCAAACTGAACTGAACTGAACTAAACTGAACTCTGAAAACTGGACTGACACAGTTTCAATTTACTAGAACTTCTATGTTAAGCGGATTTGACACAATCTACATTGTAAAAGAGCTATATAAAAATAAAGATGAATTTAATTGAATATATGAACTGTTTTCTAAATGCCTTCTGAGTTGCTGTTAGACTAGCTGGTTACAAGATATCCTTTTTTGAAAATAAACATTAAAGTAACCATTAGTGGTGGCACACATCCCTTGTGTAAACTGGACCTGAATCAAGACCTCAGATGAAAACAATACAGCTTTGTTTCTTATTCTACATGCTGAAACACATTTGAGGCGAGGAGGTGTGCACTTTGTAGCAAAGAGAAGAAAATTAAACTTTCAGATGTGTAGATAAATGAGCGGAGAACGTGCTAGAACAAACCTCCGAGACTTAGAGCATGGCTGCTCCTCCCATCTAGTGCTACTTTCATATCATGTATGAAAATCATGTCTAACCTACATAATCTGTGGAGGTTGATCACAATATGAAAGCCGACAATGTTTACATCTCATGTAGTGTGTCATAACAATGTAAAAATAAGCATCACATTAGTTGCTACTGATGTGTCAGTGGGTATTCACCCGATGTTATCAATCTGTAACCTTCTAGCAAACACTTCTTGAAAGACGAAGCCCTTTACTTAGAAATTAACTGTTTGTTTTGGAACCATAAAAACGTCATACCATATCTGTAATAAAGCTGCTAGGGTCTGTGTCCTCCACCGGTTCAGAAGCCACTCGCCCTGGAATAAAAAAACAAACAAACATAAAATTAAGAAAAAAAGAACTTTTATAGAGATCAGAACAAACCTAAAACATGCAGGATTAGACAAAGTATAGAATTTGAGAAGAAAAAGTGACAGTGATGACAAACGGATTACTTTCACTTTGAAGTAACTTGATAACAAATCCAAAAATTGAGTTTTAGTAAAATATGAGTGTTTTGAAAAAAAAAAAAAACAACACAAATGTCGAGCAGTTTGCAAACACTCCTCAGCAGTAAGACATTTACGGAAATAACAAGCAGCATAATAAACGAAAGGAGACTGTAAAAATGACCAAGTAACTAACAGAGGAAGGAAGTGTGAGAGATGTGTGTGTGTTTATGTGTGACAGTTTCTGTTAAAGTGAAATTCTGTAGTATCACACTGGCAGATTCAAGGTACAAAGAGAATGCTGATGTCCAATTTAAAAATTGTGACTGTTCCATGATGCCCAATCAATGCAGAGTTAGAATTAGCACTGCAGAAGTTTGTTTGACAACAGAAAACTAATCCTACACTGTACAGCAACTGTCAGTGGAACATGTGACTCAAACAGTGGAAATAATTCATCATCAGCATTAGTATGTAGAGCTAATATTCTTATCAGGCCAATTACTATAACACTTAAAATCAACTCTATCTGTCACAGATCAAGGCTTTTTAATAAATGAGTACATTATGATTAAACAGAGAGAGAGTTTTTATGGTCTATATATATATATATATATATATATATATATATATATATATATATATATATATATATATATACACACACACACACACACACATACATACATATATATATATATATATATATATATACACATACACATACACATACATACATACATACATACATACATACATACATACATACATACATACATACATACATACATACATACATACATACATACATACATAGATAGATAGATACATAGATAGATAGATACATAGATAGATAGATAGATAGATAGATAGATAGATAGATAGATAGATAGATAGATAGATAGATAGATAGATAGATAGATAGATAGATAGATAGATAGATAGATAGATAGATAGATGTGTGTGTTTTTAATCTAATGAAGACTGCAAAGTCAATGATTCATTTGAATTATTCAGCCTGACATGTTTATTCTTCCAAAATATTTTAAATATTACTCAACATAAAATATGTGTTCAATGGGGAAAAGTTTTTGTTTTTTACCCAGACATTTAAAAAGAATATATTTTAAAGCAATTATCACACCGTGAAATTTTTATCCAAGGTTATTAAAACATCAGAATCTTATATACTAGCCCATGCCAACTAATAAAACTCCAATAAATTGAAAAGCAGTTATATATATATATATATATATATATATATATATATATATATATATATATATATATATATATCTATATATATATATATATAATAAAAATGATTTACTGGTTCTAAAACCCTTAATTTATAGATTTGTTTGTTCAACAAAAAGCTTAATATTATATTTATATAAAATATTCCACAGCAGGCTTTATAGCAATTAAAAATCCTTCAGAGTACAAAACAGTGTTTAAACTAAGAAAAAAAAAAACAGTTCTAAACATTCTAAGAAAATAACAAATTGTTGCTTTTACATCACTGCAAATTAACAACAACAAAACGAAACAAAAAAAACTTCTGCTGAGTCTTTCGCAAAGTGCAGTCAAAAGGCAACCTCAGACACCAGTTTCCTGAGGTTTCCAGAAGGGGAAAAACTGATATAGGTCTGGTTATAACCCCAGATTCACCCACACCAGACAGCTTATTACTCAGCTCAGCTCTTACAAAAAATGTTTGCATGTGTGAGTTATTGACCACCATCACTATTTTACAAAAACACAGGCACAATTCTGAAGAATTATGAGGTTATTTTTAGTTTCTTAAAACAGTCCTTGTCAAATCAAAAGGAGTATGAAATGCAGGGTATTTTCTAGGAAATCCCAACAACTGAAACAGGATGTTGAAGAGCACTCATTCCACTGCAGTTATGGTGACTGCTGAGAGTATGAGCAGCAACACGAGCGGAAAGAGTATGCAACACCTTTAGCTGATGTTATCTGACTGTGGAAATTTATTTTCACTTCTTCTGCCCCACTCCATAAACATAAATATAATCAATAGTAACAAAATAAACAATGTCATTTGTTGTAGATTGATATCTGTTCCATATCTTTTACTCAATCATAATTCAGCATGTTCACAGCAGTACAGTAGAGAGATGGACAGATCAATCTACACGTGCCCAGTAAGTACTGCAGACGAATCCAAACCTGTGCAGCCTGAATCCATTCATGACTGTTTCTGCTAAGCCAGGGAATGCAGAGAGCATGTAGCTGCATGCTCGGGATGCACTTGAAGAGATAAAATGTAAACCACATCATAATATAACCCTGCAGGGCAAAACCCTCTGCGCAGATCTTCTTCTGCATGGCCACCCATAAACTAACAGAAGCAATACACAAGTACTGCAGGAGAAACCTGGTCACCTCTACAAATGAACAAATACAAATGACCTCTACAAATGAAACACCACGTTTTAGTAACTTGATGAAGAGAAATAAAATAGAAACAGATGTAAAAGCAGCATCCATGAACAAATGAAGGTCAAACCAAACAACTGCAAACTTATATATATATATATATATATATATATATATATATATATATATATATATATATATATATATATATATAACATGCATACTTATACATACATACATATTTACACACACTTTATATTCTTCTGCGTACAGATTTAGGCTACATAACGATGGATCTTATGTGCTTGTAAAGACCTTATCGTTCTTTCAAATGTAATTTTAACCTGTTGACACGCTTCCCCTTCCCCGTGTACCCCTTAAAGACACTAAAACAAAGTAACAAAGAACACTGAGCCAGGACAAAACAAGTGTCCGACATTTGCCACGCGTGTGAAGCACATTTTCCCTCATGACTTAGTAAACACCAAGCGTATTTACTTACCAAACGGCTCGGTGAACGCCTTCAAGCTCGTCATGTTCAAAACGATTGTTTCACACATAGAAGAAGATCGTTGATCACCTTTACGAGACTGCTGGATGGATGGAGGTGAAGTTGTGAACCGCACCGTTGTTTACAGCACCTCACCTGTGCGCGTGCTAGTCTGGAAGAAGTCTGACCTTACACGAGAACCTTCAAACTACCTGACAACTTTCTCATGCAAGAAAAACAGACGCACTTTTCTGTCTTTGCGGTTAATTTGATGTGGGAACACAGAGCTCAACTATATCTCTCCCACACTAAAGGAAATTACGTAGATCATTTACGCCATAGATAACGCCATATTTCCTCACCCCTGCCTCTTTTACACGCGCGGAACGCCCAGTTGTCATCTGAAAATCACGATTGAGTGGAGCACGCATATCATTTATTTATAGTTACCTATAGCTGAACCCTTTAAATGCCTGCTATAACAAATGGTTGACCATTTTTTGACTGTTTTAAAAATGACTGTTAAAGTCATTTTAAAAATGACTTTTTATTAATGGTTTACACACAGAGTTGTACAAACAAATCAAACAAACTCAATCCTGTTGCACTACTACACTTGATTTTGATTTTACTGTTAAAACATGTTAATTGTGAATCTGAAATATTTTATGGCATACTTGATAAAGATGATTTAGTATTCAGAATGCTTTATTTTTTATATATTTTAAAAATAAATTGGTCTTACACTTCATATTTTCAGATTTTTCAGAGTACATTTATTAATTCCGGTACTTTTACCATAAACCGACATATCAAACCCATCCAGTGTCATCCAGTTTTTTTTCTTTTTTTGGGGGGCAGTTAAAGCGTGTGTGTGTGTGTGTGTGTACATATATAGCCCCCCCCCCCCCCCCCCCCCAACACACACACACACACGCACACACACACACACACACACACACACACACACACACATATACAGTGGCTGCATTTACACTGCATATCTTGATGGCCAATTTCGATTTTGTGACTGTATCCGATTTTTTTGATGACCTGCTTACATCATATTTAAAAGTAACTCATATCCGATCGTCTGCATATACACACTAAGCACACGACAAAGGCGCAATGACCAGGAAAAAAAAGCGGGCGCTGACTATAGCTGATAATTAAAGATTGCTCTTTTCTCTATCCTGTATGTAATCTCTTTGCAGCTTTTGACAGTCTGTTTTACTATAGTTTATGACAGAAATGTTCTCATTTGTCCATCTTCTTTTTACATATAGGCTTTTTAAACTTTTAGGTATGCTTACACGTACATGGGCCATATCCGATCTGTGCCACATGAGAGAAACAAAATAGAATTGAGTCACTTGAATAGTGCAGTGTAAGTGCGGGCAGAGCGAATGTTTTGGAGTGGCCATCTCAAAGCCCTGATCTCAATTCTATAGAACAGGGGTTTTCAAACTGGGGGCCGCCAGATGGCGCTAGGGGGGCCGCAAAAAAAATTAGATAAGGGCTAATCAATGGGCCCACATTGATGAATTTTGTGTCCCACATCATTCTGAAGGTTAATATATTTTTTTTATTATAATTTGAGCTCAAAAGTACTGCAAAAATGAAGCTTTATGCTTATGTAATTTAAATGCAGTTGACACCTTCGTGACACAGGGAAAGAAGCGCAGCGCAGCGGCAACTTTTATTGAATAAGCGCTTCTGGCCGGGCACTTCCTGTGATTTTTGGCGATTGTCTGCTGCACCTGACGGCGTTTACCTTTCACTTACGCTTACCTCTTTTACGCTAAACAACTAAATGATTGCTCAGGTCTATTTACTCACAATATTTCAGTTAAAATACATGATCAATAAGAACATTATCGGAGGCTGAAAGCACTTCCCTGTATATGGCTTGCGTTCCTAAGTAACCGATCAGCTGGGTGCTGCGGAGTACGCGCCTCTCTGCGCAGGCTTCACTCATGGGGAACAAATAGCACAACATTGCACCTCGTCCAAAGTGCGACAGGCTTTACACTTTGCATTGTACAAATATAAGACGGTCCTCTTTAGCAAACAAACATATTAAAATTGTAAAGCAAAAAGTGCTGCAATAACAATGAATGGAGCTGTCATCACATCAGCGAGTGCTCAGAGTTTCACTCCTGTTACACTAATGAGAGCTGGATGAGCTCTGCAGTGGACAGGGCCGGATTAACCAATGGGCCTTATGGGCACAGGCCCAGGGGCCCGTGCGCACTAGGGGCCCCTGCGAGGGGGGAGAAAAAAAGACAATTTCGGAGTGTCTTTTTAGGCTAATTGCAAATAGCGCATCCAGTTGGACTAAGCTATTCAGGGTTTACGCCTATCGATGCCTGATTGATAGAGACAAGATGAGTAAAGAGCAGTGTAATAATACAGTAAAACAATAAAACCTTGTAAGGCACACAGCACCAACTTTTGACGCGATTACACATAACATCGGTTCGAATCCACCATCAGTTGAACTCGTGCTACTTTTTTTTCTCCCCATTACATATCAGATTGGAAATATATTTATTTTTAACAGGAAAGAAACATTTTTTTAAAAATAATGCAAATGTGATATAAAGTCACAAGTGTCTCGTGGGTATTTAATAATGTTTAGCCTTATTATACGCGCCTGCCGCGCCTCCCTCTCTTCAAAAACTCTATTGCTCAGACAACTGTATTTCCTCTGAGCAAAAAAATCGCGATCACATATTAATATTATTATTATATTTAAATTGCCTTTCTTTCTTTAACTAAACAGAATGCTGTAATTGGTCAAGCGCGGAAACGTCAGTTTTGTAATAACCCGCACTAAACTGAGCGGACTTTATCTGTCATAGATCAAAAATGAGTGGACAAGTGGATTTAGCAAACGCGAGAGAGAGAGGAGAGGAGGCATCTTTATTGAGGCATTTTCCATACACACCTTCTTTAAACAGACCCGTGATCAGGAGAATGAGGGTACAGAAGAAGACGTTAACTTTAAAAGATGAGAAGCTAGCATTAACCAGGCGGAGGAGGCTAACGGCAGCGCAGCGCGGACTGGATTCATCGTGTGAGAGACAGACAGAAAGGGAGAGAGAGAGGGAGAGAGAGAGAAAGGCCAAGAAGAGGAGAGAGAGGGGAGAGAAGAGGTATAGTGTCTGTGATTTCGGATACTTTTAGGTTTATAATCAAGTTTTCATCACGAGAAGAGTCGAGAAAATACAGGGAGAGGAGAGAGAGAGTAAATCAGTGTTTGTATTATGAAAGACTCAGATTCATAGAACTCAGATTCATATAACGGGATTGGAGAAGCATTGTGCGTTATATGCCATGGCAATAATATGCTTTATAAGTTTGTAAAAGCAATACACTAAAATACCCTTAAAAAAAAAAAAAAAAAAAAAAAATATATATATATATATATATATATATATATATATATATATATATATATATATATATATATATATGTAGTTTTATTAGTATTTCTATTTAATGCTTTGAAAAATAATTTAAATCTTTGCAGACTATAAATACATATGTACTATATATCATTTATTTAAATATGTGGGCAACAAATTATAGATTAATTTTATTTAAAAATTATTATATTATTCTTATATTTTAAATTCAACTATTGGGGTGCGGCCAGGTAGGGGGCCCTACAATACAATGTGCCCAGGGGCCCCTGAGTTCTTAATCCGGGCCTGGCAGTGGACCTCTTAAACACATTGGTTCATAACTGGATGATTAAAAAAAACGAAATTGTATACACCCTGAATAAAACCACTATAGCCTATAAAAATTATAATGTATCTGTTTGTGTTATGTTATAGGGCTAATTAATTATTAAATATTAAAATGTATTAGTGCTCTGTGTTTAATGGAGCTCAACATATCTGATCAAATTTTAATACTCTGAATATAAATGCATTTTTTTCAAGATGTTCCACTTTTTCCCATATTTATTTGAGTAAATAATTTAAATGTAATGTTCAGTATTATTATTAATAGAACAAACTGGTATGAACATTTTAAAGTCAGCAAAGCTTCTAAAATTAAGCAAAGTAAAATTTGTGGCTCTTTGAACTTGAATACCTAATTCTAGGTCGCATTTAGGAAATTATTTTTTATCAGTGTATGTCAGGATTGTCGACCTGAGTAAATTATGATGTGCACAAAAAAAAGAATAAAAATAAACAAAACACACTGAACCACTACAGCCATTGTAGAATCGCTAGTTACAACAGTACAGTTAACTGTTAACAGGCTGATGAATGACAAAACTCTTTAAAACTTTAAAGCTTTAAATCTTTAGATACATTTAGAGTCTCATCTGTAAGGGTAAATACAGAAGAGTCTAGCTGTGCATAGGCAGAAAAAAAGCATAAAAATTGCATAAAAAACTGTGTAAAGTGACGACTCGTACACAAAATATGGCTTGATGGAATCCAGTGAGAGCAGACCACAATGAACGCTGCGCATAAAGATTTGATCAATAGATTGAAGCACTGAAACCATGTCAACTCAACTAACATCTTACAAAAATTAATCCAGATAATGAATAATATAAATTAATTTAATAATATATAATAATATAAATGTATTAAATAATACAATTTTAAAAAAATAAGTACAGTTGTTAATTTGAGGGGGTGGCGTGATATTTATTTTTTGGGGGTCCCCGAAAGAATTCGCCCTACACAAAGGGGCCCTCAGCTGAAAAAGTTTGAAAACCCCTGCTACACTGTAAAAAATTTCCAGGTTTTCACAACAAGTTACTGTAATTTTTCACAGTAAATTACATTAGTATCCCTTCACAGTATTTAACTGAAAAATTCACAGTAATATGTTGTATTCATAATTTTATTGTGAAATTACGGCAGGTAGCATGATTACAGCAAATTACTGTGAAAAGGGCTATATCTTTTGCACGTTAGTTATAGAAATTCAAACCTTTTTTAATTCAACGTAGAAATTAATACAAATGAACTTTTAACAGATAATAACAGAATGTTATAGCCCCCAAAACGATTTGGTTACCAACATCTTTTTGGTTGTACTGCACCTTTATTTAATTTTATACAGTTAACATAGAATAGGAAATAATATTTAATGAACATAACTGTGTGCTTAGCCAAAACATAATAAACTGGAATAAAAAGTAATTAATTAATGAAACCAAAGACTGTTAAACAGCCAACAATTATTTCAATGTCAGGGTAAATGTCTGCTTTAGACGGTTTCATGAGTATTGGGCACCTGTCATCGCCTGGAGGTCACTAATCTTTAATTTAGAATTATATATATATATATATATATATATATATATATATATATATATATATATATATATATATATATATATATATATATATATATATATATTTTATCTATATAAATAAACCACAGATTAGAGTTTTAACT